TAGTAGAATTTTCCCACAATCATATGAGTAGAGCTGACGCTTCCATTAAATTGCACATTGCCTTGCTTTCGCAAAAGTTGTTCCCATCCAAGGTGGACTGCAGTTTCGACCTCGTATCGGTCTTGTCAACACCTCCAGCGGGAGTCTCGAAACTCTACTCAAATACAAAAATAAGTAACCTAGTCGATTGTTATAGCAAAGAATATGATGTAGCGAAAGGCCTGACCTTCCTTAAAATTCACATCAGTCCTGCGACCCAAGGTCACTCGTGGCAATGTGGTCGAGTGGTTAACGTGTCAAGCTGACATTCTGCCCTGCCACGGTTCGACTCCCGCTGGGGTTGTTGATAAGACCGATGCGAAGTCGAACCTCTCATATTATTGAATACTGCTCACATAAAAATAACTACTATTCTTACTACTCATTGTCGGAATACTCAACTGCCAATCCTTAAATCACCTTAAGCGACCTAGGCTGACTCAATCCTACTTATTTAGAAGGTAAGGAGGGGATTTGACTCTTCTTTGAGGCCTTAGCGATATGATTACTGCTAATGACGGGCTACGTACCAAGCTGGCCCTCTGAGGTCAAGTTTAAGTAACGAGATGATGCCTGTCTCGAGCTTGGCCAAACACCGAAGGCCTAGGGCCACTGACTAGACTACAGACATGCTGACAGACGCATGCACGGAGGCGACTAAGACCAAATTGGTATAGCGGTTCTCTCTAAACGATGCCCTACAAACAGGCCGTAATGCGATTTATTAAAACCTGATTTTCCTGTTAGAAAGAAAAGTTGGTTTTAAAGAATGCTTAAAGTGGTCGCACCGGATATCAAAAGAGGCCTGCCTTGGAGGAGTGAAGACTGGCGGATTGTGAGAAAAAGTACTCAGCTCATCATCTTGCGACTCCGATGAATATGTGCTAACTTAGTTTGCCATGTGGTAGACATCGTCAGAACGAGAAAGCATACTTTACAAAAAAACGCACCGAATAGAATAGGCCAAGAAAGTAGGAGTGGCGCGGATCAATCACACTCACTCCTTCCACCTAACTTTGCTAATGATGCATCTCATGATTTGTTTGGTTATTTCATGCTGTTATTCTTACAGCTGGATTAGTTTACCGTATTTCCCCATGTATTAGCACCCCCTTTGTATAAGCCACCCCCTAATTTTTTGACTGTGAAGTTTTGAAAAAATATTTTATTAGTGAAACAAGTTACAAAGAAAGAGAAGTTACTAACAAACAAAATTCAAGACTCATCATCACTGTCTGGTGCATCAGGTAAAGTGACAACCCCCTCACATTGCTCGTCTTCTTCAATATCACTGGCCTCGAATTTAGCTAACAGTTCT